TAAATTTATTAGAAAAAAAATAAGCTTTTAAGAAAAAAAAAGAAATATTTTAAAAAAAAACAAGCTTTTACGAAAATAAATTAAATTTTTAACAAAAAATAAATCTTCAAAAAGTTCTTTTTTTTTTACAAAAAATTAAATTTAGAAAAAAAGATTTTTTTTAAAATGGTTATTGAGGGAACCACAAAAACAATAATCCCCCCCTCCCAAAAATTCATAACTTTTCAAATTTGCACTTTAGTTCCTGTACGTATCTAACCGTGTTAACAGGATAACGGATGACTATTTTAAAAAATTTAATTTTAAGGTTAAAATTGTAAAATTTATATTTTTGAAGGTTAGTTTCGTAGAAGTCCCACAAAACACTGTTCAACATTGAAAGTGTATTTCTGCTCTGCATTGTTCTGATTTTCTTAGGGTGGGTTTAGATCAAGAGGAGTCCTTTTGAATTTTTCTGTTTGGACCGGATGAAATGAGGAGGTTGTTTCAAGTGTCCATCCACTTGGCTAATGGGTTTGGTGGTGGTGAATGGTGATGTTAGCAATTTAATTTATGATGTCTGATGCTTAAAATTCCATATATTCAACATTTTTATCAAAAAAAAAAAATTATTAATAAAAATATAAATTAAGGGTAAAATGGTTAACATTCATATTGTTTATTCAGCACCATAATCGAACAACTTTTCTATTAACATACAGACAACTTTATCCATACAGGTCTTTACTAAAAAACGAACCAAACAGTCCCCACGTCACTACCAAATAGTCATACATAACTGACCAAATAAACCATGAGACCTATTAGGTTGCAAACAAAACAAACAGGTTCTCAATGTTTTATAAATGTTGTACTCTTAAATTTAAGAGTTTCTGTACAATTTTCTCATAACTTGATTCGGACTTTTAGGATGCCAGCATCATTCACAAAAGTATCTTTTGTACATATTTGTTTCCGCAATTTCATCAAACAACATTGCAGTCGTGAGTCGTCTGTGTTTTTCTCGCCTACCTCGATTTCTTCTCAAAATCCATATATTACCTTGCGAAATAACATACATTAATTAAAATCTATATACCGAAGTACATTAATAAAACTTACACAAACAATGTTCACATTCACAACATGTAAGGGGCTGTTTGACAGTTGCTAAATGATTTGATGCAGAATGATTAAGAGAGAGACTTTTTTTTTGTCAAACAAGATTCACCTCTTAACAATTCAAAGGCTACCTCTTAATGAAACTATAAAGAAGTAAACAAACAACCCTTAAATATCCATTCATGTAATCTATAAGTATATTAAACCACAAAACCTTGAAGGTCGGCTCAAAGGCTAGGCCTTTGGGTTCTCTCCATAAATCGTCAATTCGAGTCCTCTCAAGGTCACTCACTAAAGATTTATCTGACTATTATCTTTAAGGTCCTATGAGATTAGTTGATAGGTTCAACCAAAACCTCTAGCTTCCAACTTCTAATAGTTGTATTGACAAAATCAAAAGCTAGATCTTCCCCTATATCATAATTCTTCCACATATCGAAAAAATACCCGTAAGTAATCTATGAATCCTGAACACAAACTAAACGGAATAAACAAGTATACTGTAACAATCCATCCAACGTTGATAAAGAATACTCGTACCCAATCTATTAGAGTATTAGCTCCTTTATAAACTTAAAGTTCTGAGCTACCAATTACGTTGGTTTTTTAAGTTGATTTCGAGGTTATTTGGTCAGCCTGCTACTTTGAGCTACGTCTTTTACAATCATAATAGCAACAACAAGACCTTATGATTATGAAGAAGAACACTGGATCAAGCTTCTATATCAGCATTAAACATGTACAAGGTAAAATAAACATCTACATGCTACTAATCCTCCATTCAGCCAAATTTCTGCTAAACAGATACACATACTAATGTAACTAAAACCGAGTAATGAAAGTACACTGTGTGTGTGTGTGTGTGTGTGTGTGCAGGCGTGTGCGCGGCATGTGTGCGCGAATGTTAATCAACTCATACAATTTTGCCCAGAAATCTGAATGAAGAGGGTGTCATTAAGCATGAAAAACTATACAAATTCAATGATTCACGTACAATATAAAGTAGTTCCTACAAACATACCAAGAAAGGAATAATGGCAAAAAGCTCAGTTATCATATCATATTATATACAATCAAACACATATTTCAAACCTCATTATGAAGATGCAGCCTTGATTGCTCTCTGCAATTCACTCTCCACATCCATTGAAGTAGCATTCTTCTTTGTTTCTCTTTGCCCATTTACATCACCACTCTTCTTCATCCTCCATTGCTCAGCCCCATCTAAACTTTCAACCAATGGCTGAGGCCTCTTTCCTCCTCCACCACCGCTGCTGTACCCATTGTAACTCTTCAATGGCTGCCGTGATTTAATTTCCTCCAATATACGTCTCATCTCTCTGTTCTCCTTCTGTAAATCATTCAATTCTCTGCTCATCCAAGAATACATACCTTTCAACATCGCAAACTCACCGGAATCACCCTCAATCCTCTGCTTCTGATTCCCTTTCTCTTCGTTCACCTCATCGATTCTCTCAACTTTGATCTTGTTTACTCTCAGATAAGGCAATTGCTTCTCGTAATCCGGTGGGATGTTCACACCCCACCGTAAATTCACCTTAACCCGTTTAGTCACCGGCAATTCGGTGTTGGCAGCCATCAAAATCCCCGATAAGATTGAGTCCTTTGTGGCCGACTCCACCGTCAATTCCTTCCAATTGATAGGTCGATCCAATGGCACAAACCCGTATGAATTATCACGACCATCGGTGCTTCCACCATTAAGCGTCTTACCAGCGTTAGAGACAGGACTCGAAGATACTGTTTTACGGAGAGAGAAGGATCCTAATCGGGGTTTGAATTGGATGGAGAAAGTAGGGTTAGGGTTAGGGTTTTGAGGCGAGAAAGAGAAATTGGCGGAGATTATGAGAGGGGAATTATTGGGGGAGCCTGAAAAGCTTACCCCTGATTTGAGGGTGAGCGTTAGAGGTGCAGAGGCAGCTGCGCCGGAGTTGGCGGTGGTGGTAGGGGTATTGTAGGAGAGTTTGAGCGAGGGACCAGTGGGGAAATGGGTACGCAGAGATAGGGACAGTTTGTCGGAGGCGGCGGCGGCATGGTGGTGGGTGGCGGAGAAGGCGGAGAGAAAAGGGAGACCAAAGACGGCGATGGGAATTTTAGCTTTGAAGAGGATTGGATTTTGATTTTGTTGTTGATCTTCGAGTTTCAAAGAGAGCTTCATGATTCGTGGATGAAAGTTGATGGATTCCACACCTTTCTGTGGAAGATCTTGAACAAATTTTCCCACTTTTTGGTTGATCTAAAAAGGGAAGAACCAGTGACCGTGCTTCAGCGGGAAGCCTTGAAGCATTGACGGATGACAAGAGCTTTGTTGCCTCGTTTGAGAAATTAAAGATTTTAGAGATTATAAAAATCTTTAAATTTAAAATAAAATTTAAATATAGAAGGAAAATATTATTTTAACACTTTTTATAATAATATGCATTGATAATAAATATTTAAGAGAGAGAAAAAAAAATATTTTATTAAATATTTAAACGTATTAAATATTTTAACAAAATAGTAATAATAAAATAGCTAAAATAGTGTAGTTGTTGAAATTAGATGTAATTTTTTTAGGGATTTTGATTTTTAGTATTTTATTTAGAGAAAAAATAGCATAGCTGTTACGATTTCAATAACTATAATTAAAATTAGGACAAAATGCACGAGATGATAACAAACTTTCATAATTTTTTTTATTATAACATTTTTTTAGTTTTTCTTATTACAACTAGAAGCGTACTTGCGCAATGCAGCGAGATATATAGTGATTTTAATATTTCATTTTATTCTTTATCTCAGTCGATGTTATAATATGACTTTATGTGATTTTGAGAAAGCGATGATGTTTTTATTTTTGAATAAAATATATGTTTAAAGATATCATAAAAATTTGACAAAAATATATCGATATTMGTATCAAATTAACTATTTTAAATTTCTCATTTTTTGTGTAATTTTTTAAATCAATTTTTTTATAATTTAATTTATATACAATAACGGAGTAATTTATATTTGGTTTAATAATATAATTTTTTTATAAAGATAATAATTATTTATTTTGTTGGAACTCG